GGGCGGCGGCGAGGAGCCTGCGGTCCCCCCGGGAAACGGGGCTAGCCCTGCCGGGTCCGTTAGAAAGGAGGCGGAGAGGAAGGAGCCTGGCTCCGCGCCAGGAGCGGAATACCTGGGTCCTGGGGAGGAGATGAATGGGCGCCCCACGCGCCATGGAGGGGGCTGCGGGTGGGCGCTCGCCGGAGGGGAGAGGGGCTTTCTCGGAACCACGCCTCGTCCTGGAGCAACCTAGCCGTCTGGACCCCTGTTTCTCCGGGGGAGGGAAAAGAGGAGAGGCTCAAACTCATCCTCTTGAATGAGCCTTCTGTTTGCCGGGCAGCTGCACGGGAAGGGGGTACAGGAAAGATGGGTGCGGGTGAATGATAGCCCAGCATCCGCCTTGGGTGAGACAAAGTGAGACCTACTTGGTAAGGCACCTCCGTCACTTTTTTTTTTTTTTAGTCACATCCAGCGGGATTATGGATTTCTTGTGTGGAGGAAGTGTTGGAAGAGGTAACTCAACTCCGTCGCCTTTATGCGTGTTAAAAATATTAATGTAAAATTATGTGATGGCCCCAGTGTGCTCAGTTCTTACACAGAAGGGCTATCTCCATAATAAAAGAGCTCCGTCGCTTCATTCTCAGAGACCAGCAATCCCTAATTGGGTGACTGCATTTCCCAGGATCCCCAAAATGGGAGTTGTAGTCTAAACACATCCAGAAGAGCATCAGGTTAGGGGACGCTACCATACAAACCTTGTCTTAGGTCACAGGGGTGTTCCTGTAGATTTGTTTAATTTCAGCAGCCCTAGCCAAGGACAAAGGAGCTGCAATTTCCAGGTAGACCATCCACCCTTGAATTTAGGATAAAATTATATGTGTTTGAATCAGAAAAAAGTAGTTTAGTAACAGGGTTCTGTGTGTCCACCTTGGCCCTCTGACTTTAGTTCAACATCGGTATTTCCTCATCTTGTTCCCATAAACTCTTGAGGTATATCTAATGAAATAGATTGGCAGATGATTCAGAACAGATCCAATCAAGTACTTTAAAGTTCCTAATTATTGCCATCAGATGCAGGGAAAACTCTTTAAGAATCCTGTACTGTATTTATGGAGATTAGGCCTAAAGATGGGATAAATCCAAGATACTCCATATACAATTTGAGTTACCCAGAGAAAATGTGTGGCATTTGGTGTGGGATTAACTAAAGAACTGGCCCATTTCTTTATGTGTGCCCAATTTATATAAATCACAGGCACAAGGTGGAACAATGAAAGCCATATGCTGAGATAAATCCTTTCAGCAATGGGATTCTAGGAATTGTTATTCAATACGTCAGGAGGCATCAGGTTGGGAAAAGCTGGCTTGAATCAGTACATTATTAGGTGCTGAGAAAAGGTAGCAGAGTTTTTCATATTTTGCTTGATATGAATGCTTACAAGCAAGGTTTGAAATAAAATCTCCTTTCTGGAGTCTCCCTTATACCAGATAAAACTATGGCTGTGTGATCTGCTGAGTTTAAGTCACCATGAAGCATGGTTGGGGAACTAACATCCTGATTGATGCAGAGGTAATCAAATTAACTACTCCTGCAGCAAACTATCTGGGTCCAGATATGTAAGCCACCTATGCATTTTCCTTAAGTTTTGAAAAAAAGAATGAAAATGCCTAATGGCTTTGGAATTAGAGGCACAGGTGGGGAATGGCTGGATCTTCGCCCACCTCCCTCCTGAGTCCAATTAATTCCCTGCATGTTCACAGAGATTGAAAAGCTGGAGAAGTAAAGATGCTGCTGTCAGAGCAACTCTGCTTTGCAGTCATTCCATCAGCCTGTTTCTATGGCAGGTGAAAACAATGGTAGTTACTGGAGACCTACAAATTCAGATGACATATCAGACTGTGAGGCGCATCAACTGAAAAGGGCATGATTTTAGATTCTGGTTAAGGTGCTTTACCTTAACCATCATTTCACCCAATTGAACAATTGAGTAGCCTAACTGCAACGGCTGTATTCACATAACACACCTATTGAAGTCAGTTATAGACATAGTGGATACTTTTGTACATTATACCAAGCTTGGCTAGTTTTAACCTTGGAGTTTGGTAGTGTGGTGCGTTGTGTGAACCCAACCAATTTTGTAAGCTGACAGTTCAATGCATTGTATGAATCTTTACAAAGTGTGCTATGCAAATACAGCCAGTGTACCTTAGTATGAAATGTGACTATCCATCTAGTCCAAAATTGTGAATTTTGATTGTTTGTAACCCCATAGGGCCTTAAGATAGGTCACGATGTTACAATCTTGCAAATAAAATAAATGGATAAATAAATATAGGAAGCTGGTCCTTACCAGATCAAATCATTTGTCTATGTGTTCCCATCTGGTTTGCTCCAGGAGGGAGCACAAGGGAGAGCTAGATTTATTGATAAATCTTTGGCATTCTGCAGATGATGAAGAATTTCAGGTACCAAACTGTTTAACAGCAGTGAGAAAATGACACCTCATTCCCATGCAAGATTGTGAGTTATGTTTCATTTTGGTTGCCCCCCTCTCCAAGTTCTTTGGAAACTATCAGAATTTGTGTGTTTTTATACATCTTTGGCTCTTGGGGAGGGAGGAAGAGTTTCCATTAAAAAGTCAAATCAGATTCTCAGGTCTGTAATCCTGATTGAGTAAAAGTAGGGAAAGCTCTTCACTACTTCGGAAGGATTTCTCCACATGCAAACTTATCATAGGACCTACTAGGGATTGAATCTGGAACCCTGGTGTGCTATCAGCAAATTCCCTACTGGATTGCAGCCCTTCTCTAAAGAAATGAATGTTGGAAAACTGCTTTACATCAGGTCACGTTATGTGAGGTCCAGCCTCACTGGATCCTAGTGACTTTTCAAACTCAGGTAGAGACATCTTTCAGATCATCTACTTAATATTTAAAAGGAAGATGCTCAGGTTTGTCTTTTTGCATAAGGAAGAAGTTATGTCCCTGAGCTCTGTTTTCTCCCTTGCTGGTCTTTGTTAGAATAAAATGCTGAACTAAACTGGCCTCTAACTTGATCCAGCAAGACAATGCATGTGTTCTTACATGATGAGAGAAAGAGGGAATAGATGGATTTTAGGGGGATGCCTAATGATTCCATAAATGATCAAGCATAGCATATTCTACACTTCCATTGACCATAAGCAGGCAGTCCGTGGCCAGCTTCATCCTTACAGAATTATCAGATGTACTATTGATAAGATTACCCATTTTTCAGTGATGAACTTAAGGAGGCGTCCATTGTGCTGCATCCTATTTTTCCCCACGTCAACCCTATGAGTTAGAGAGGGCTAAAAGCCCTAAATCATTTAGTAAACTTCTGTGGCCAATATCTGCTCCTAGTCCAGCACCTTCACCACTACACCACTCTGTACATAGGACCTCATGGTGGTCAGTGTAACTGAAAACACCACACAGATATATAGTATATATAAATAAATCCTCCCCCCCAAGAGGATAGTGGTGGAAGTCATGTAAAACTTTCTGTACGGGGGCATGACGTAACCTAACATCTGTATCTCTCTCTCTGAAAGCTTAAGTGACGATGGGCTATGTACCATTCAGATAGATAGTACAGTATATTCTATACCAGTGTTTTTCAAACTTGGCAACTTTAAGATATGTGGACTTCAACTCCCAGAATTCTTAAAGTTGCCAAGTTTGAAAAGCACTATTCTGTATGTATCTGTCCATTGAATTTGGTAGAGACTTATTCCCAAATCAGCAGATATTGGATTGTAGTTCCAGTGATAATCAGAGTAAGTAACTGTATTCTTTATCTGTGGGATTCACTGCAGGATGTGGCAGAAAGGATGCCAGGTGCCCAACTAAGCTGGGAGCCTCTACCTTTAAAGCTGAAGAAATTTAAACAGTTATAGCCTGTCACACAAGTTAGATGACATTAAGCGGAGATTAGACATATCCCTGAAGGAGGAGATTATTTTCATTCCCTATGTTTCTGATACTCAGGCTGTGAGTGCTGATACTTATGTAGGAAAAAGAGCACCACTGACTGAAAAATGGTAGCATGAGCAGACTTAGGAAGACTGCATAAAATATGTAGAAGGAACAGATGAGGGTAGTAGGATGACTTCGAGGTACACAAAATGCTAGTTAAGACTGTTTCTTGACAAGGCTTTTATTACAAAACAGCCCTGTCTCATTCATAGAATTTTATGGGGCATTCAGATGTCACCTTTAGTTCTAATTATATTCACCCATTTTTTCTTCCCATGTTTTCTTTTTTTCACAGAAAAATCCACAAAGGGGGAAGGGGGAAATGGAAGGACTGCACAAAACCTTTTGAGCAATAGTCCAGGGAATCAGCGTATCCCAAAAGGGGTAGGAATGGATCGGAGGGCTGGAATCCTGAACAGTAGCTCTCTGTCCTGCTGTGTATTCTCAAAGGTCCTACCTAGTAGTTGTGATTTCTATATTGAAATATAGTCTTCTAAAGCAGTAAATCACTGAGTTTTATGTGCTCCTGAAAACAGGAGGGGAAAGATATTGCTTCATTACCTGCTGATGAATTCCTGATATCTAGTTAGACGTTGTTGTAAGCAAAATTCCAGAAATGATGGACTTTTGACTTAACACAGAATGGCCCTTCTTACATTCCCTAGGTACATTCTAATTCAGTGTTCCCAGCTTGATGCCTTATAGACTATAACTTCCATAATCCCCATCCAGCATGGCCCATCTCAGTTGTAAACCAGGACATCTGGAGGTTACCATTTTGCAGAAAACTGGCCCATTTTGTATCACTGTCCAGGCCTTTGGTTGAGGCTGCAAGGGAAAATAAACATATATGATTGGCTGATCCTCAGATAGTGTATTAATACTAAACTGCCATTGCCTAGGTGTGAAATGAGTATCAGTAGTAGGGCAGATAATGGTTAAGTAAAGGTAGTATTTGGGGATGGATCTGCTTCTTCTGAACATAATTGTTAATGGTGTTTTTCCTTTCTGTATCAGGGAGGTGCCCTTTTACTTTATCATCACTTCACTGGCAATAGGATACTTTTAAGGATCATCCATCCTTTCCTGTTGGGTGTCTTATACCCATCTGGCTCCCTGGGACTACACATTGCATTGACGCTGTCTTTCAGTTGGCCTGGCCCAGTCTCCACTGGCTGGGCGGTTCTACCTTTGTCTACAGGAAGGTTGGAGAACAAGAGCTTCCTTCCCTGCAGGAGTAAAAGATGGCCGCCACACAGGAAGTGCCTCCTCCAGCATTAGGCCTCCATTTTTTGTACCCATTAGAAGAAACAATGGCACCAAGGGTGAAAATGGAGGAACCTGGACCCCCATGCCCTGAAGCTGGTTGGGAATGGGATGCTCCAGGGAAGGCTCCCCTTGTTGTGCAGGCAGGCACCATTAGTGATCTGCTGAGGTGGGCAACTCCTCCCCAGGTGAGGAGCGATCCAATTCCACAGCTATGGGAGGTTCAGTGCCAGGAGATGGTGCAAACCCTGAGGACACCTGCTGAAGTCATGCCAGCCCCTGTGCCTGTCCCACCCCCAGCCCCTGGCTGGAGCAACCTCCAACTACCTGAACTTGCACCTGTGGATGACATTGAGGCCTACCTGTCGTCCTTCGAGCGTGCAGCCGAATCCTGCCAGTGGCCAAGAGGAGAGTGGATGAGCCGCCTTATGCCAGCTCTTGGAAAAGCCCAGCCACCCCATAATGGCCTGGATGCCAGAGGTGGCAGGAATGAGCATAGAAAGTCCAAATCCTCTGGCCTGCGAGGGGAGGCAGGCGCCAGCGTGGAAATGCAGCGGCAGCGTTTCCGGCAGTTCCGTTACCAGGACTCCGAAGGCCCCCGGGAGGCTTGCCGCAGGCTCCGGGAGCTTTGCCGTCGCTGGCTGAAGCCTGAGAGCCGCACGAAGGAGCAGATCCTGGAATTGCTGATCCTGGAGCAGTTCCTGACCATCTTGCCCCAAGAGATTCAGAGCTGGGTGTGGGAACGAGGCCCTGAGACGTGTGCCCAAGCAGTGGCCTTGGTGGAAGGATACCAGATGGGGCGGCGAGAGGCAGGGATGTGGGAGCAACAGGTAAGGGAGTTTTTAATCCTCCTGATTCTAGTGCTGAGGAGAGTGATGGAAGCCTCTAACATCCTTAGTCACTCCGAGATGTTTTCTCATTCCCCCACCCCACCCCCCGGCAAATGAGTCTTATATCAGTGTTATAAGGACTTGTATCAGTGTTTCATGGATATAAAAATAACCAAGGCCTTGCCCCAATGCAACTTGCAATCTAAAAGATGCAAAATTGGCAGGAAAAAGTTCAGTCAAGCACAAGGGAGGGAGAATACATGGGTAAAAGTTCTTTGAGTTGGCACAAGATTTAAACAATTGTCTTTTTTTAATTTGCTCTTTTGTTTATAGATTATTTTTAAATTAGGCTTTAAAACTTCCTCTTTTATATACAAAGGGGGGGGAGATTTGGTCACATGACAGGCCTCCTCATTATTAGCAAATGAGCCTGCATTCAGCCAGCCATGCTTCTTCCTGATTTATACAGGTTGGAAATGGCTATCCACCAGTTGTTGAGGGCCTCTTTGTTATGCAAACACGCAGGGGGCTTCTGGTGGGGGGAAGCCAAAAGCAGCATCTCCAGATGCTTTGGACTGCAACTCTCACCATCCTTTGTTATTAGCCATGTTGGCTAGGGCTGATGAGAGCTGAAATCCAAAACCTTCAGAAGACCCCAGGTTGTCTGACCTCTTTAGCTGCTGCAATAAACAGGGTGTTGGTTGAGATGGACCCTTGCTGACAGATAGAACTTCTGTGTCCTTTTGAAAAGTTTTTGGAATGGGAATTGCAAAACAACAGCAATCATGGAAGGTGAGTGGCTGATTAGTGCTTCTTTTAGCTTCAAGGCTTAAACAAAAAATTGAGATTGGCAGATTCCCCTGAGCTCCTAGTGATCCACTTTTGTCCTTGTTGCTAGGTTACCGTGCGGGTCAAGGTTGAGCAGGTAAGCCCACAGGAGATGATTTTACCTGGAGCACCATGGGATCCTTCAGCCTCACTGCTGCCCCATCCTGAGTGCATATCCTCATCTGATGTAACACTAAACCAGCCTGCCCCAGGCCCTGCTCTCAAGATGCCCTGCATCCCGAAACAGGAACCACAAGGCCTTCAGGAAACAGGTAAGAAGGAAGAGAGAAGCGGCTGCTCATTATTTTCATGGGGCAGCAGGATATTCTAGGAATATTTTCCTGCCACAGGGAATCATTTGCCACATTAAGTCAAACGATCAGTGATAAATTCTTTAGGCAAGTTTTATAAACCACCTGTATAAAACAGATGAGGAATGTTCCAACTCCCATCATCCCCAGCCAGTGCAGCCAGAACAGGGAGTTGTAGTTCATCAATACCTTGATCTTACTTATGGCTGAGCTAGGAAATTCAGGCAGGTTTTTTTTTTTTATAATCTATGGAATGACTGGCTATCAGAGAAGATGAATATTCACCTCAGAAGAATTCTAGTGCTTTGCTTACATTTAGTGGGCATCCAGGCGTTTGCAGCCCAGATTTAGTAGCTCTGTGCAAACCATGTTATTTAATCATAAGTCAGATAAAATATTTGAATTCCTCCAGTCTCCAGAAATTCCTTCCACATTTTTAAGGGACTGCAGTTTGGCAAAGGTGGAAAAGGGAATATAATCCAACTTTTATTTATCTAAGCATTTTTACTCCATTCACTGGAGCAGCTTATACATGATCAACCTAAGCAAGATGCACTCTATCTGAATGTTTGAAAAGAAAAAAAGTTGAGGATGGAAAAGGAAAATAAACCTTCTTAAATCCAATTTCTTCCAGTAACATAGCCCTTTTTTCTTCTGGCAAATGCCTGGACAAGTCCCTGCAGTTTCCTGTCAAGGTTTTTTTGGAAGTGGTTTGCCATTGCCTTCTTCCCAGGGCTGAGAGAGAGTGACCTGCCCAAGGTCATCTAGCTGGCTTCAAGCCTAAGGCAGGACTAGAACTCATCGTCTCCAGTTTCTAGCCCAATGCCTTTAACTGCTACACCAAAATGGCTCTTAGCATAGCACTACAAAATTTTAATGATTTTGTAATATAGAGACAGGCTAAATCCTGCCTCATTTGATCTCATTTATATCTATTGCATTTGAGATTTCAGTGGGAAAAATGCATCTTACAGTTGAAGTCAGTCTTCCCCTTCAGATGAGTTGGGCTTCTGCTCCAAATAAATGGAGGAGGTATGTCAGTGACACTTTTCACCAAGAGCACCATGGACTGACTGCAGAGGGCAGAGGTTTAAGATAGAACTCAGAACAGTATACACTATTTAGGCTAACTGAAGTGACTGTAGGATTGGAAAGGTGAAGGGCGTTCCGTTAATGCAGCCTGACCCAGCTCCTTCCAGACATGTATTAAATTCCCATAAATCCCATTTCCAGAACTTTTAATTTGGCCCAACCGTTGCTCCTCCAATTAACTGCCCCAGGCCTTTTCTCATCCCAGCTAGGGACAGTGGAGAAATGTTCATTAACAATGTCATGTGCATTTATCTGGTTTCTAATCCCCGTATCTATGTGCAAACTGGAATGCAGTTATTACCCTTAAATCTGCTCTTTGGAAACAAAACTTATTAATTACAGTAGACATGGAATAGAACAAGTTTGAAATCTAAGAAATGAAGAACTGAGCAAAATCAAGCATAAGTGATTCAGCCCTCCTTATTCAACCAAACTACCACTGTTTCTTGCCTACAGTTAGCTGGTCATGGTTCCTCTTGTATATTCGTACTCTGCTTCTTGCTTTACCAAACCCGGCAATCATTGCTCTTATATGGCCAATAATTATAGCAACAAAGAATCTTCAGTATAAGGTAAACCAAGTCAGCCAAGGACTGAAATCAATATATGGAAATGATTTTAAAAATTGATTACTTCTGTTTGTACTTTGTATGGATGCTCTGGCATAAAACAGCTCTTTATCCTATGCCAACTTATTTTTGATCAGCTAATATGCTGACAGACAACCAAAACTATGCCTATATATACAGTCGTCACCAGATGGAACATACAAAAATTATATTGACTATATTATTGATATAAGGAGGTGGAAGAGCTCAGTTAGAACAGCAAAGATGTGGCCAGGGGCTGACTGTAGAGCAGATCCAGGCCAAGCTAAAGTGAAAGAACAAAGGCAGTCAGTTTTCAAAGTAAGATCTTAAACATAAACCTACTATTTTCAAAGGCAACATTAGGAATCACTTTGAAGTCCTGTACCTCATTGATAGGAAACCAGAGGTATTATAGAATTAAAGAAATTGTTAAGGATGAGTGTCAAAAGTGACCACCAAAGGGAGGAGATGGTTGAGGAAGTAAAGGTAACTGGGACCCTGGGAGGCAGTTGACCATGCTATCCTGGGATTTCAGGTAGCGTGATGACGAGAAACTGCAAACAGTCAAACCTCAATATTAGACTTCAGAAGGGCAAACTTTGATGGACTTGGAAGGATAATAGGAAGGACCCAATGGCTTGATATCCTAAAGGAGAAAAATCTCCAAGAAGACTGGGAGCTTCTGCAATATGTAATATTGGAGGCACAAACCCAAACAATTCCTACAAGAAGGAAAAATGAGAAACATCTAAAGAGACCAAAGAGACCAAACTGGATCCACCCATAACTTAATAAATTGCTTAAAAGAAAAAAGGAAATGTACAAGAAATGGAAAGAGTGGAATGTATCCAAAGAAGAATACAAAGCAGTTCACAAAAATTGCAGATCTAGCATGAGAAAAGCTAAAGCCCAGTACAAGGTCAGGCTAGCAAGGGATTCCAAAAACAACAAATAAAGGTTTTTCAGGTATGTCAGAAGCAAAAGGCAAGTCAAGGAGACAGTAGGTCTTCTGCAGAGAGGGAATGGTGAAACAGTTGAGAATGAGAAGGCAGAACTCAACTCCTGTTTTGCATCTGTTTTCTCTCAGAAGGTGAACGAACCCTCGGTCGGACCTCACTGTGCCACTGCCGGGGGAAGTGAACTGAAGCTCAAGATATGCAAAGAGCAAGTGAGGGAATTCCTAGCTAATCTGAATGAGTTAAAGTCTCCAGGGTGAGATGAATTGTACCCTAGGGTATTGAAGAAACTAGCAGTGGTAATTGCAGAACCACTCTCTGTAATTCTTTAGAATTCCTGGAGAACAGTCAAGGTACCAGAAGACTGGAACAGGACCAGTGTTGTTCCTATTTTCAAAAAGGGGAAGAAGCAGGACCCAGGAAACTACAGGCCTGTGAGTTGACATTGGTACTAGGCAAGGTCCTTGAGCAGATTATCAGACTGCAGGTCTGTGAGCACTTAGATAGGAATTCATTAATTAACAGGAGCCATCATGGATTTATGCTGAACAAGTCATGTCAGAATAACAGTCTCCTTTTATGACAGAATTACTAGCCTGGTTAATCAGGGAAATGCTGTGGTTATAGTATATCTTGACTTCAGCAAGGCTTTTGACAAAGTCTGTTATAGCATCCTTATCTACAAAATGGTTGAATATGCGTTTGACAACTCAACTGTTATGTGGATCCACAGTTGGCTCAAGGATCGTACTCAGAGGGTAGTTATAAATGGTGTCAAATATACCTGGACAGACATTTTGAATGGGTGCCACAGGGCTCTGTCCTGGGCCTGGTGCTGTTTCAATGTTTTTTTTTAAATAATATGGATGAGGAGTCCAGGGAATGCTTACCAGATGTGCGGGCAATACAAAGCTAGGATGGGTGGCCAATATGTGGGAGGAGAGGGAAAAAATTCAGAAAGTTTTAGACAAGCTAGAACAATGGGCAGAAAGAAATAGAATGAAATTTAAGAGGGAGAAATGTAAAGTCATGCATCTAGGTAAGAACAACCAAGGAAACATATATTGGATGGGGAGAATCTGGCTCAAGAGCAACACATGTGAGAAGGATTTGGGTGTACTAGTGGATCACAAGCTCAGCGTGTCCTGACAGTGTAATGCAGCTGCAAAGAAGGCCAACGACATCTTGAAGAACATCAAGAGAAGCATAGAATCCAGATCACCGGAAGTCATTGTCTCGTTCTACTCTGCCTTGGTCAGGCCTCACTTGGAGTATTGCATTCAGCTTTGCACACCACAGTTTAAAAAAGAAATTGATAAACTAGAACAAGTCCAGAGAAGGGCTTCTAAGAAGGTGAAAGGACTGGAAATCAAATCCTATAAGGAACAGTTAAAAAACCCAGGTGTTTTTAGCTTGCGGAGGAGAAAGGTAAGAGGGGACATGATAGCTGTCTTCAAATATCCGAAGGGCTGTCACATTATAGAGGATTCGAGCTTATTCTCACTTGCTCCAGAGGGTAGGACTAGAACTAAAGGGATGAAACTTCAAGGATGTAGATACAGATTAGACATAAGGGAGAACTTGACAGTAAGAGCTGTCAGTCAGTGGAATAGGTTACTGCATGGAGTGTTTTTTTTCCCCCTTCACTGGAGTTTTCAAAGAGACTGGATAATTATCTATCAGAGATGGTGTGGCGAATCCTGCAGTGTGCAGGGGGTTGGACATTATTACCTTTTATGTCTCCTCCAACTCTACAATTCTATGATTCTAAAACTGAGGAACAGCAGACATTATTGCTGATGCATGCTAGATAACTGAGAAAGCCAAAGAGTACCAAAAAGAAATCATTGAATATAGAAATGCCATTGATTGTATCAACCATGTCAAACTGTGGAATGTCCTTAGAAAAATAGCAATCCCAGAATATCTCATTGTCCTCCTGCAAAACCTCTACACAGCACAGGAAGATGCAGTCTGGATGGAACTTGGTGGAAGTTGGGAAGGAGTAAGACAAGGTTGTACTCTTTCCTTATTTATTCAAACTATATGCTGAATATATATTGAGGGAGCTAGGTTTGGAAGAAGATGAGCATGGCTTTAAAATTTGAGGAAGAAACATCAATAACCCAGCCTATGCTGATAACACTACTCTGACAGCTGAAAATGCAAATTATTGTTCAAGCTGTAGTAATGAAAGTCAAGAAGCAAAGTGAAAAAATGGGACACCGTTAAATATAAAGAAGACCAAACAAATAACAACAACCAGCAACCAGCCTTAGAAATGACAATGAAGACATTGAAGTGGTGGTTAGCTTCTGCTGTTTGGGATTGATTATCAACAGTAAAGGAACTAGGAGTCAAGAAATATGTTGCAAACTACCACAGAGTAGCAATGAAGGCCTTGGAAAGGATATTCAGAAGCTACAACATATCTATACCTACAAAGATCAGAATCGTGCAGGCAGTGGTTTTCTCTGTGACTCTATGGAAGCAAAGAAGCAGGATAGAGCGAATATCGACGCTTTTGAACTTCTATGTTGGAGATGACTCTTGAAAATATATTGATAGCCAAGAAAACAAATCAATTGATTATACAACAAATCAATCCAGAATTCAAGACCCAACTCCCTTGAGAAGTTCATAATGCTGGGAAAGATGCAAAGAACAAACAGAAGAAGACAATCAGCAGCAGGATGGATGGATTCAATTACAGTGTCAGTGGTACACCATTGGGAGATCTGAAGAGCCAGGTTGGGGACAGATCATCCTGGAGAAGGTCTGTTTATGCATTGGTTAAGAGTCAATACCAATTTGATAGCACATGATCAAATATGCTGATAAGGTGACATAACTACAGATTGCTTGATGGTGACAGCTAGAAGAGGAGCTTGGCTATTCTCCCTTGCCTGTCATTGCCTCCCACCACCACCACCCCAGACAAATAGAAAATACAGGGGTCTCCTCCATTTGGGTCATGCCCATACTCACAAACACATGTACTAATAGCAGAACAACATTTTTGTTGAGGTTATAAAGGTCCAGAGTATGTGCACAGCTTTTTCATCACTAAAACAATAACATACAAGCTGTTGATTTGCAAACAGAAAGTATAAAAATAGTTTCTAGTAAATGTACAATGGGAAACATACATGTTTGTTTTGGTGTTGACAGCTGCATGTTGTCAGCCTGGCCTGCCCACCTACCTGTTGTGAAAGGCCTTTCTTTTTCTTTTTTTGACAGGCTCTCTACTGGCCAATGGGAACCGAGAGGAGAACCCTTTGCCTGGAGGCACTGTGGAAGTGGGAATGCTATCTGGGAATTCCCACGAGAAAATGTCGGGTGAGAATTGCGGTGAACGGGTGAGTCAACAATGTGAAGTGAGATGTGGCGAGATGGGGGAGAATCCAGCTGCACGCCCCAACTCTCTTGGAGTCTCTCATCTGGCAGGAAAATCCCTTCACCAGTGTTCAGAATGTGGGAAAACATTTAGCCGTAACTCACATCTGCTCACCCACCAGAGGATCCATACTGGGGAGAAGCCCCATCAGTGCCCCCAGTGCGGCAAACGTTTTGGTCATACTTCCCAGCTGACTCGTCATCAGAGGACCCATGCCTCAGAGAGACCTTTCCGATGTGCTCAGTGCAGCCGAAGTTTTTACCAGAGCTCAGAGTTGACCAGGCATCGAGTGTCCCATGCAAGAGACCGTCCGTATGGGTGCAGCCAATGTGGGAAGAAATTCCGTTGGAGTTCTGATCTTATCCGACACCAGATCACCCACACAGGAGAGAGACCGTACAAGTGTCCTGAGTGCGGGAAGAAGTTTGGGCAGAATTCGCACCTGGTTCGACATCGGAGAACCCACACTACTTAGCCAAGATCTTCCCAGAAGGAAAGAAAACTGTTTCCCAGCATTGAGAGCTCAATAAGGGCCAAAGTGTGGAACCAGACCAATCACCTAGCTTAGTGTCATAAGGAGCCAGATGACCGATGAACTTTCAGTTCAACATCTGCAGAGATTTACCTGTTGAATATGGCTTAATTAGAATGAATCCTGTCTCCTGCAGCGGGATAGACAAGGTGGCAGTTCCACGTTACCAATTTGTGTTCCACCTAGAGAGCCACAGCACAGCCAGACTGATTGCTCTAAAAAGGTGCTGAGCCTTGTTAGAGCTGACTTCTTGGACAGTACTAAACCACTAATATTGTGGTGGCACCAGTGGGATGTCTTTCTCTCTTTCTCTGTCTCCCTCCCCCCCCCCATTCTCTCTTTTAATAGAAAAGGTAATAGATCTTCTAGTCAACTAGACAGATTTATTGTTACATAACACAACCTATATTCCCTGCCCTGAGACCATATCTTTGTTGTGCAGCAAAAGCAATGTATTTTTTAGAGAAAATGACCAGTCTGTATTGGCAGAGGGTTAAATCTTTAAAATGATGGAGATCCCCTCTTGGGGAAGCTGCTGTGGAGTGTTTTGCTTTGTTTATTTTTTGGAAATTACAACTTTGATAAAGGGGAAAATTGTCAACCTAGGCTTGTACTGACGTGGGAATATGCATAATAGAGCTGGGGATGATTTCAGTTGGTTGGCATGCAGATTACATGAGCTTTGTTATGGCATAATCTTAGGGTTGGCCATGAGTATACAAGGGGGTTGATGCAGGCTTTCCATCTGGTCCTTTTTATTGCCAGTAATCCTATCGTCCATTTGCAACCTCAGCCTCTTTCTTCTTCATGAGCAACAACACTAGCAAAGAGTTTTTTCTTTACATTCAGCAAAGAATATCTCAAAAATATATCATTGGTACTTCAAGGGGAGAACACTGCTAAGTTTTTAAAGCTGTTCACATTGGGCCATGGGAAGTGTGGTGGAAGAGGTTAGAGCAGTGTTTCTCAACCTCAGCAATTTTAAGATGAGTGGACTTCAACTCCCAGAATTCCCCAGCCAGCTGGCTAGGGAATTCTGGGAATTGAAGTCCACACATCTTAAAGTTGCTGAGATTGAGAAACATTGGGTTAGAGAGTCCTTTGCTGGAGGGAATCAGTAGATGACACTTAATGCAATTCACCCTTCAGCTTCTTATTGACATTGACCTGGTAGCCCTGACCAGGGATCTCTTTTAATTAATTACAGTGGACATGTTGACACAATACGTTTATCAGGACAGTGAACGCTCAAGCTACAGCACTGCTCACACTAAGATCCATTACTTTTTTGGTGTGGCTTAGCATGTTGTATGGATCTAACTCATTTGATTAGGGTTAAGGTCCAGTGCATTGTGTAAACCCAGATAATGGGTTAATTCAAGAGCCAGGTTAAGCATATTGTATGAACATAGTCAATGTGGTAGAAGATCGAAATACCCAAATACCAAAGGATTATTGCCTAAAAATATCCTTTTCACTTTCTGACTGCTGCAAATGTACAGTGCCCATTCAGTGATCTCTCAAGGTTTGTCTAGTCCCCATCAAAAAAATGACAGGTGAATACTGAACATGGAAGACTTGTATCAGGACAATATGATCATCTTTTAATTATGCTAGAGCCATTTCTTCATATTGCTTTATTTCCACAATATGCCCCTCAAAGATTAGTGCAACTCAGTGAGAGATACTTCCTTTTTCCAGCCCCTCCATTACCACCTTGTCTTGGGATAATGATACAGCTTTCTCCAGCCTGGTGCCTTCCAGAATGAACACCTTGTTTGGGGATAATGGAAGTTACAGCTTATCAGGTTGGGAAAGGCTATGATAGATTTTTCATCATAAATGTGAGACGTTGACATTTTCTCAAGATACTGAGCCAGATTTGCTTTTCTATGGCCTAAAAAAGTCAGTTCTGCCCATGATGGTGTGCAAGGAACTATTTTACTTTGAGACATAAAACTCACCCTCTTAAAGGGCTCTGGTTTTCATCTTTGCAAGGAAAAAAAATAGCATATTTATAGCTAGAAGAAAGCTGAGTAAGAAGGATCAAGGTGGGCCAAAAAGGACAGTGATACTTGGGCAATATTCATAGTAGTCAAAAGTTGGAACTCCAAGATTACAGACAATACTTGATACTCTTCCAGACCCTTGTGTACTTGAGTAATTGATGCAAAAGAACCTCCAAATATGTGCAAATGTATTTTATTTGCACAATTTATATAGGACCTAGAGTTCACTTTATTATGATGCAAGTTTTAGTATAGATTGATGCCAAGGTAAGAGTTCATTTTTCTTTTATAAGAAAAGGTATCTGCAGCCCCACTGAATAAAAATTATGTTTGTACAGTTAGTTTTTATGACCAAGTGACTGCCTTGAAGAATTGCTAGATTAACCAAGTTTCCAAAGTTTTTAAGCTGTGTGTAATACAGAAGATTTCTCCAACCTAGGTGCCAGGAATTATAGTCAAAACCCCTACCAGGCATCAAGTTTTAAAAAGCAGATATAGACAATACTTGAAGATTTTTTTTTTTTAACTGAGGTGGGATTTCCAAGTGCCAGACTACTCAGGTTGCAGAATGGGAGGACAATTTTGTTGGTTTAAACATTTGGTGTGATGAATTAGAGGAAAGATTCAGGATCCTGTAATCTAGTAAAACCTAATATGATCAGCACTACACTCATGGTATGTACCAGAGCAAGGTCCAACAATGACAACTAGCTTTTTCAGAAATGTTCTCATACTCCAAGAATCTTGTACACACTTCCAATTTAATACAGAGAGGTTTGGTTTGATTTGCTGCAATTCCCAGTTTTCATCATTTGTTAGAGTTTTTGTATACTTCCATTTCTGGAAATGGGACAAATGGAGTAATCATTACCTAAAATATGCGTATGGGTGCCATCACTGAAAATGGGAAAGGGTTAGACTTCTCTTTGACTTCTGGGCCAGTTAGCTAGAGTTTTTGTGTAAAAGTTCCAAAGGTTCCATGGAAGTGGTGGCCAGAATGTTGTGGCTAACTCTTAAACATCTTTGAGATAAAGTCAGAACTGTGTTCCATTTGGTGTGCATGCTAATACCAGTTATCTTCACATGCTGGTCATTCATCTCAACCCTTCACTCTTTCACACACTAATGCAATAGCGATTGCAAAAACATATCTGCTGGATGCAGAAATGTGTCTCCATTACTAACCTCAGCTTTGATTTTGTTATGCTGAGGGAAGCAGAATGGATGGGGACTAAGCAGTGCTCAAAGGACTAGGGAGGCTTCTGGGTGACAACTAGTGTACTACCTTGTCAGTACTGAGCATGGCTTCTAAATGTTTCTGCAGTGCCTGTTAGAATTCATACTTGCACTAATCTTAATCTTCCCCATTGGGGTTGAAGGAGGGGGTCTGACTACAACATTGCACTGAGTTTTGGAGGTTGCCCAAGTATCTCAAGGTCTAATTACAGGATTAAGTCCTTGTCTGTTTTCCCACTTTCAATCTGATGCATGGAAGACTTGTCCTTGAAATGGTGAACTCTGAACAGCTCATTTCAAGAATCTTCATTTACCCTTCATGAAGTGGGAGAAAGAAATACCTTGTGGTATATTTGGAAAAGCTTCATATTGGGTTTGGAAAGAATCAGAAAGTGATTACTGGTCACTGAATTGGGAGTTATGGGATAGATATCTCACCAGCAAACCATAAAAATATTTGACAAAATTACTTGTCATGGAAAAGCACAACAATATAATTATTTGGCAATAGTAGATCTGACACTTAAGAAGTACAAGTTCAGCCAACTATTTTGGCCATCACTGACTACAAGAATAGTAAAAAGAAAAAAAAAGGTAGTTGGATCTCCTGGTTCTTAGATTAAGGGAGAAAAACACAAGAGATCCATCAGCATTACCTTTTGGCTTTCCCTATGTTCGCTCACCCATCCTATGTTGGATAGAAAGGATGGGAGTCATAATTTAACATCTGGAAGCTGAAAGCCACTAATGACCATTCTCCAGCAGGGAAGATAGGACTTCATAGAAGCAAAAATGTAACACTAAAAAAAGTATTAATGAGTATTGCATTTACTCATAATCCTGGATATAGGCAAAGGTTCCTCATCTGTAGCTATTGATTAGAATGTGAACCCTGACACTGGCCCAATCAGACAAGTTATTTTTGAAACACAACTTTTTTTTTTTAATGTGTTAATTTTGAAGAAAATGTTGGTGCTGTTTTTCTTTTTAAACTTTTCAATATATTTCAAAAGGCAACTTTTTCAAAAACTCAGCAACCAGCAGAGATGGGAAAATATTTTCTTAAGTATTAAACAGACAAAAACTTTGGGAGAGGGCACCTTAAAGAAAATGGAAGGTATTCTGAATGAATTTCTCAAATAACTTGAACACAGGTCAAATTTGTTGTGTATTGATCTCCTAAAAATTATATGATAGGAAGACAATGGCAGAAATGGCAGTGTTTCTCAAGATTTAAATTATCGTGTACTACCATGAACGGTCTGGTTATTCTACATAAGCCTCATAATGTGGGTATCAAAAAACCTGGGTTGCAGCATTTTCTGTTCACAGAAGATAAAACTTCCGTTTGCTCCCAGAGCACAATTTCCACTTTCTTGTAATGGACATTGTGGTCAGCCAGCGAGGTTGCAGAGTGTTGGAAAGATGGGAAACAGGAACGCCATCTTCACCCTCAGTCAGGAAACTAAGCCGAGTTGTTTCTGTCTCAGTGAGAGACTATCAAGCATAGAGCTGAGCAACACCAATCAGTCCAGGTGGGACATCTCAGTATTTGATAAGGCAATCAGATCTGGGCAGCAAAAATCGGGACATCCACTAGGTGGCAGAAAGGTGGCTGCATCTAGTGGTTGTCTGGATTTTAATGCGTGATCACAAATGTTACCCGGTCAGCTTCATGCTAAAGTAGGACTCTGAACTTGGATCTTCTGGAAGTGCATAAGCAAGAACACAAAATAGCTGATTGTTGTCTCCCAGTAACTGGTGTTCAAAAACTATTTCTGTGATCTCCATGTCTGCCCTTAGATTTAGGAACAGTATTTTTCCAGGCTGACGACAATCCATGTGTCTGAGCCCTAGCACAATACATGGTCCTCTACCAATCTCGACAACCTTCTGATAATGCAGTGCAAACCAATGTTGTAAACTTGATTAAAGCTCTAGCCTTTGATCTCAATTCTCCTGGAATGCCAGACTTACTCTTTCACCATTGTTCATGTCATCCCTTATTCGTTCACACACTCAGCATAAGCGTTCTTGAAGCTGAGGGCAAAACAAATCTCACACACATTTGCTGTTCATCACTTAAAAATGTATCCTTAAAGTAAAAAAGCGCTGAAAGGCTTTAGGTTTTGGGATGCCAACCAGGGTACTTACTGGTCAGTGTTGAGTACTTAGCAACTCCTTCAAAGCTGCAGGACCATTTTCTTGGGAAAGGGATATTAGCTTCAAACGAACAACATGCATAGTAGCGTTGCTGCTCAAAATATTACACGTGTTCGTGCCCATGTACACACACTTTTTAAAGCCTTTTATTTTTAATTAATTTGAAATTACTAACCCCAGTTCCTTAGAATTACTGACGCAAGTCAGAATTTTGAAAGTATTTAAAGCAGCACATTTATTATTTCTGAATGGAACTGGGCAAGCAAAATCATTTTCAGAAGAGTCAGCACAATAATCTTTTCAGTTAGCCAGAACAACAGTCTGTAACACCTTAAAGCTTAATTCCTTCTTTTTACAAAAAGATTCCCCCCCCCCCAATCTTTCATCAAATGAAGACTAATTCAGTGGTTTGAACTCTTGCTAGTTCACCGTCCACCCTGGCTAGAACAGTAAATAATAGGGTTGGCTGAATCATTCAGAGATTCTGTGGGGATTTGACTGTTTTGACTCAATCTTAATTTTCAGAACAAATCTTCAGAGCATCAAGAGATGCTGACAAACTGATTCTGAATGATTTAGACCTGATTCAGAAATCTTGCAGGCATTAATGAATGCTCAAATCCACTTTTTCCAAGCCAATTTAAACGTCCGAATGATATGTGTAAAAACAGGGCAGGGCTTTGGTCATATAGTTATGGCCATTTTTTTTTAACAGCCCCCCCCCCCACCTTTGGTTGCCCCTTTTATTCTGGAATCGAAGAAGGTATCTTGATGGAAGGAGCAAAAGGGTCAGTGGGCGTTACTCTTCAGATACTGGGATACTGCTGATCAATGGGAGATGAGCCTTGCACACAGACCAAGTTTCCTTCACCTCTGCAGAGAGATGAAGGATCCTTTCCTGTCACACTATTATAATCCTGTCCCAGCATTTCCACAAGGAGACCACGTGCATCCACAGCCTAGGATTTCTCTTTGCTGTGAATCCGCTGATGCTGCACCAAGGAGCGCTTATTCGCACACCTTCGTCCACATTCAGTACACTGGTGGGGCTGGTCCCCCAAGTGGGTCCTCTGGTGCTTGGTGAGGTGGGAGGAGTCCACAAACTGTTTCCCACATTGAGGGCAGGCATATGGTTTTTCTCCCGAGTGGATCCTCCGGTGTACTGTCAGGTGTCCCCGCTGGCCAAAGCGCTTCCCACACTCGGTACAACGATGCTGTTTTTCACCCGTGTGGGTCCTCTGGTGCACAGCGAGCGCTGACGGCCACCGGAACCCTTTGCCACAGTGGGTGCATGCGTAGGCGCTGTCCCTGCTGGGAGCCTGTGGGCGAGCCTGGAGCTGCTCAGCTCCCCCAAACCTGTCCTCATACTCTGCTTGTTGAAAGGACTCCTCAGGCATGACTTGGGCCCTCTTGAGTGTGGCCAGAGGACAGAATCCAGATGTCACTCCACAGCTGTCAAGAACTAAAGGGGGCAGAAAACTATCAACCTGATACAGGTAATTAGCATAATGTGAATTATGTAATGTGCATGATGCAAACGACATCATTTGCATCATGATGTACATGAGGTCGTCATGGCCTGTTCCAAACACCTCTGAGTTCTAAGAAGGTCCTTTATGCTGACTCTAGCTGCTTAGCTATTTGGTTCAGTACCATCTACGGCTGGCAGTGGAGAAGAGGTAGGCCTTCTGGTTAGAGATGTGGAATTTAAGGGGCCACAGGGCTGCCTGCAGGACACAAAGTCTTGGATGCAGACCTCAGAAACCTTCCAGATTCTCACCAAATTGTAATGATAGTTCAATACTTAAACAGCAATTATAATAACCACCATTTCTTTTAATTAAAATTCAGTGTTAATTTAATTTTGTCCTGACTATCCATTACTTTTTGGAGTGCAGCCCCTGGAATATCACTCAAAGGCCAAAGGTGGCTCTTGACCAGAAGTTGCATATCCCTGGTCTAGCTGCTGTTGGGACTCCAGGTCCCCTAAGCTGAAGCGTGTGAATCAATGGTCAGAGTGATGAAAGTTGTAGTCCACCAATAGGTAGAGAACCCCAGGTCCCTCCATCAGCTCCCTCACTTTCACTAGCAGGAAATCTCTAAATCTCAGGCAGGGGACTCTCCACATCTTAGAGATGGTGAAGAGCGAACTTGGAATGTTCAACAGTCTTTGCCACTGATCTGTAGCTTGCTCCCCTCCATGGATTAAAGTATTTTTTTTGGTGGTTGTTTAAATCAATTGAATATTCACAAGTATGAACATCACTTTTTTAACTATTGCATGAGTGCCTGACCAGGGCAACAAGAGAAAATTCAGCCTCTGAGTCTGATTTTTAAAAATTACTCCCCGCTCAGAGGAAGGCTTTCTTTCATTCCGAACTTGTGGGTAGAAAGAGCTCCGTTTCTGCTGGGCTAGGACAGGCTTGTGCTAAAATGTCTTGCATTCTTGATACTGGAAAGTTGGGTTTTTCTTATATCATTAAATTATTTGTTGGTTTATTACACTGCTGAATAAATTTTCCTGCAAGGAGCTCAATGAGACATGTACTTATCCTTACATCAACCTTCCTAGGAGAGTTAGATTTAGAGAAAGCAATTGGCCCAAGGTCTTCCCAAGAGCATCACTTTGGTATGGTATCTATTCAAAATACATGTTATCCTGGTGTTATTCCTTCAACAGTTCCAAGACAGTTCCAAGATAATATTTTGCCCATACTACAGATGGGGAACTGAGGTTGAGACAGAGAAAGGGAAGCCTTACCTAAGTCCACCCAGCTGGACACCCATGAAACTTTGTGATTTGGAGCTCTGTCTTTTAGGTGTTAGTCAACCCTGCCTAAATCAAGTTTTTGGATTCTTCTTGTATAAAGAAAAATCTAGATTGCTAGACTACAATCCAGCTGGGGATGTGATGGGAGCTGTGGTCCAATACACCTGGAGGGCATTAGGCTAGGAAAAGCTAGTCCACCATCTAGCTTACCTACTGTTACAGAAGGATCTTGCCTACCAGAGCCCCCAGCACCCCCTTCTTCTGCCGATGAGTCCCATGTAGTCTCTGTGTCAGAAGAACCTGCAGCAAAAAAAGAGTTCAGAGCAGTTCAGCCCAACATAGCTAAAGAGAACAAGAAGCAACATCAGAGAAGGTAGGATGCTCTGTCACAGGTGGTGAAGTGAGTGCTATTCTCAATTTTCCCTTGGGAAAACAGTGATTATGTTTCTCTGTTAGATATGTATCTAGAATTGTGTGCTATGCCAATAACATTATTCTGGAGGATTGTTTTCCTGGGCTAAGGCCCTGTTTCAAGAAGCAGTTAAAAGAAGGGGAAGAATGAACTGTTTTTCCTAATATCTGCATCCCTTAGAGGCCATACTTTCTCTACGACAAAAATCCAGCAAGTCATCCAGGGTAGTTTGAACACAGTTCCCCAAGCCACAGACAGAAAATAGCGAATGGGACTCTCTGATTGTCATGTGTAAGAGTGCTTGGCAAGGAATAAAGAAGAGAAAAAGGAGGAGGGGACAGAGAAAGAAGAGAGAGAATGGGATAAAGATAGGGATGGAAAGAAGGAAAGGGGGGGAAGGGTTAGGAAGGATGATAGAATATTGCTTTTGACATAAAATAAATCTCCCCACTCTTGGCCTGTAGGAAGGCTGCCATGCATGGATTCTTGATTGACAGAGATGTCTGTCACTGAGAACCCTATCTCAAGTCCTGTCCTTATAATTAGAAGTGGAGTTCTGATCAGGGACAGACCACATGAAATATAGTGCTGTTATTTCCCAAATGAACCACGCAGAATGTAGCTGGTGCGGATTCCTGGTTACATTCTTCCTGATGAGAACAAAAGCTTCACTGTACTCGGTTCCCCAACACATCACCCCAAGTAGAGGAGGAAAGAATCTTTCTGTGTGAAGCTGCCACATTTTGTGCAACCCAGGCTACACAGAAAGAAAAAGATAACAAATCAACAGGTGGTCATGCCTTTCTGTTGGCTGAAGAAAACCGATACCCCACAAAGACAAATGCTCTTTAAAAATGAAACTTCAGTTTGTTTCAAAGGCAAAGTCATTATTTGTTTCTTCACAGAGCCTAGCCCTCTGCAAGACTTATCCGGGCTGTTGTGCTCTTTCCTGTAATTGAGATTATCCCTATCTCCCATCTATGTGGGTCCCTTTCCACTAGCGAATTTGACTGCCAGAGAGATCTGGGCCTAGAAGTAGACTTTTCTCTACTGTCATTTATCAATGATTTGCAGTCTCCTCCCATGTCACCAGCCTATTCAAAAAGAGCTGCATCTTTATAACTTTTGCAGAATCATTTGCAAAACCTCTAAAGCAGTGTTGTCCAAACTTGGCCACTTTAAGATGAGTGAACTTCAACTCCCAGAATTCCCCAGCAAGCCATGCTGGCTC